CAGCCCCATCACCCTCACGCATGCTCCTGAAGGGCAAAGGGACTTCACTGCACCTTACCCTTTAGCAAAAACCTTCCCCATTTCCATTGTCCTCGAGGCTGGAACCACGGCACGTTGCCCCCCCGTGGGCACACTCGCCGCAGAGTGTCACATTTGCCACGGTGACGGGAGACGGGTGAACCCCCTCGGCCAGGGCTGATGTCCTTCTGCAGCAGATTTCCTGGCCAGAAATCCCTCTGCATGCACCACGCAGCTTGACGAGCCAGATTTGCTGGGCACACGCAGACCATCTGTCCGGCACGCGGTTTTTGGGACCAACACGGCCAGGACGCATCCGACCACGGCGGCACCGGGTGCCTGGTAGGAGCGCCCGCGTTGGACCTGCCCCACTACCCCTTCTTGCAGAAGGTGGGGGTCCAACGGGAAGAAAAACTACTCCTTGACAAACACAAACCACATTTCTAAGCAGCAGGAATATGACAGAACGTGACCCTGACACTGAAAGACCCCCTAGGTCCCAAATCTAAGAGCACCGAGATCTCCACTTGAAAGCGTTGCAACAAACTTAGGGCGTTTTTTTCCAAAAACCTCGTGTCCAGAAGTCCAAAACCTCAACTCTTACAAGCACAAGCAGTCCTGCAAATCACTCAGCACCAGCAGTGCCACCACCAGATTGTGCCCCTAGCTTAGCGCTCCATCTGCAGCCAATATGCTGAGCTCTTAACCAAATTGAGGGTTTTTTTTCAATCCGGTCTCCCGAGCCTGATCCCATGGCCGTGGACTCAACAAAACCAATGGACTTCAAGGAGCTTTGGAGCAGAGCTTTACAGTAATTTACTTATCTCACAGAAGAGCTTAATTAACAAATGTTTGCAAAGCACTTTAGGATCCCTGCACGGAGGGAGAAGAGAGCTTTTGCTATGGGGCCGGTCTAGAAAGCAAAAGGGTTTGCGATGGGTACGCGGCGCCCCGCAACCACCGCAGCTCCGGCACACGGGGAGGTCTCGCGGTGAAGGTTACCAGCGCCAAATCTTTTCCAGCAGCTGCCATCCCACAAACACCTCTTTCCCCCAAAACGCGGGTATATTTGAGGAGAAAAGGGATGCAGGGCTGGGAAGGGGAAAAACTTGGTTTCTTTGCCGCGCTCGCTCTTGGCGATGAACGTCAGTCGCCGTTTTGCCTCTTTGCAGCCAACGGCAGCTTTATTCCTGCCTGCCATGAGGCTTTCTGCGACACGCTGTAATGCCCACACTCCCCCCTGGCATTTCTGGCATCAGCAGCAGCTGCACTTTGCAGTTTCTGCCTTTTTTTTGGGATTGTTTTGCAACCCATCGCTTAGGAAAGGCGCGAGGCGCACGACACCGCCGCCGATCCCCACCCCTCCGCGCGGCACAGCCTTCCTGGTTGTGGCTCATCCTCTCTTCCCTGCCAGTCATTGAGGGATGAGGAGTTTAAACCGCTCGGACGTACCCACTTTTGAACTAGAAACACCGTGCGGCTGCCAAGGGGAAGTTTGCAGAGTGCCGTAACCGTGCACGGTCCACACCCGCAGCAAAACGCCCCAAGTGTGCAACCCGGAGCAGGAAAATTCCTTCTTACGACGACGCCAACATCCCCGTCCTGGGATAGGAGCTCTTCCAGCTCATCGAGGCAGCTCTAGAGCCCAAACTTGAACCCGAATCGCTATCAAAACCCAGCCGCCCCAGAGGGCAGCAGCGCCAGACGGGAGGTAAGATCATTCCTAAGCAGCTGATATCACCGGGAGGAGGATCAAAGCCTTGGTCGGAGCCCAGCTACGCCCCCAAAATATTGTACGAACCCAGCAGCGCGGCTATCAGGGACCCATCAGAATTAGTCATGGCCCACGGTGCCAATTCTCGCAATTTTGCTGCGAGCGTTCGTGTTTGTCTGAAATTCCCAGCTCCGTGAGTCATGTGGATATGTGCGAGTCGGAATTTTTCATTTTTTAAAGCAAGTTTCTAGACCCTGTGGCTGTGCAGAGAAGCGAGGTGATGTAATTCAAGTGAAATCTGGAAGCCCTGGGAGAAGGTGAGCGAAAAGCGGCCCATATTCTCCATTTTTACGCAGTCACACAACTTTTGAGCTAGTTTTATTATTTCTGGGCCTGTCGGCGAGCTCGGAGCTGGAGCTCTGCAGTTCTACCTTTGTGTTTGTTTTTCTTTTTTTTTTCTCTTTTCACTTTCTGACTTCACTTTCTGACCTCAAAGCTACAGGACAGAACCTAAAATGGAGGTTGGAAGCACACCGGTGTCCCTCAAACGATGCGGCGCCCCCAGGCCAGGCACCGCCACCGCCTTCATGAACGGGACCAAACTTTGACGAAAATCCAGCCAAAATGTAAATTACAGGACAAAATATACATTCCCAACGAGGCAATGCAACGTACGGGTGTTTGTGCGCGTGGATGCACGCGTGAACCCACACCTGTGTGCGCACAAAGCACTTTGTATCAAATCCCATTCCCACTTTATGGACTTTTTTGGGGTAAATGCTCACCCCTCGCACACTCGCTTCCCATATCTGCACCTTGCACGCACGTGTGCTTAGGCAGTCTCACGCCCAACCTCACCGTGGGTTGTTAGGTGTGTGAGTGAGCCATACCTGGGGGCGGGTACGGGGACACCCACGGCCACCAAACGCCCACCTCGACCCTCTCCAGGCCACGCGACGTGCACGGGGCTGAGCCAAACGCTGCCGTGCGTGCGCAGGATGAGCCCCCCGTCCAGCACCCATGTGGGACATTGCCCACCAGCAAACGCTGCCTCTCGGACGAAGGAACCCCTCCCCGAGCTGCCAGACCTCAACAAATCCCAGCACCGTGCAAAGGTTAAAATAAAACACGAGCGACTCAGGACGCTGCTCCACACTCGTGACTGAAAGGAGACGCGCGAAATGCAGCAGCACGAGGTGGGGTTTTTCTCTTCTTAGCTCTACTTTTTTGCTCTTTTTTTTTTTCTTTTTTTCAGAAGCTCGCAGCACGGATGCCAACACCTCCAGCCCCAAAGCTGCTTTGTCGCATGTCCTGCAACGAAGGGAACCTGCCCCAGCCCCTCCTGCGCTGTCCCAGCATCTGCCCGACTTCGCGCTGCGGTTTTTGGGGTTGAAAAGGGAACAAAAGCAAATCACCCATTCCCAAAGTGCCTGGGCAAAGTTGCCGGGAGAGCTCTAGCAACACCTTACCGTCTGAGTCACTGGATGAGACATTTCCTTGTGCTGTGTGCCCCATCTGCTTAGTTCATCTGCAAGCTGAGCTCTTCTGCTGGAGACCCAGAAAGAGAGACGGGGAGGGGGGGGGGGGAAGAGAGAAACCTCGCGGCGAGGATCGGAGAGCCGGGGAGAGGAAAGCAAAGCAGAGTGGGATACGGGGAGAGGGAAGGGGGAAGAAAATTCCTGCCTCGGTGACAAGGCACCAGTGCCACCATCCATATCCATCCATCCATCCATCCATCCATCCATCCATCCATCCATCGCCGCAGCCGTCGTCGCCTCTCGCCAGGGCTGCGGAGCGCGGTGTTGGCGGGGCTCTGGGGGGGGGGGGGGTTTGAGCATTGTCTCTCCCCAGCGTAAGCTCGTGGCAATCCCATTTCATGGGAGAGAGACATCTGGTTTGATTCAAGAAGAAAAGGGGAAGAGGGGAGAAAGGCGCACACACAACACACACAGAGACGCAGGGCCCAGCCCCAGCCTGGCTGGCGGGGAGCTGAAAAGCTATTTTCAATGCTTCCCGGCGCTGAACCGCTCCTCATTTCAATGAGAAAAGGGAGAGGAGGAAGAAGGGCTGGCCCCTGGCTCGCCCCCAGCAGCCCCACTTGCCGGGGGGGGGCTTTGCTGGGGCTGGGGAGGGGGATTTGCTGGGGGTTGGGGGGCTTTGTTGGGGTCTAGGCGGGTTTTTGGGGGGCTGGGGGGCTTTGTTGGGGTCTAGGGGGGTTTATTGGGGTCTAGGGGGCTTTGCTGGGGTCTATGGGGAGGGGGCTTGCTGGGGTCGGGGGGGGCTTTACTGGGGTCTGGGGGTTGGAGGCTAAGAGTGGGGGCTCCGGAGGCTGAGCCCCAGCGCTCCCCGATGTGCTCGTGCGGCACCAAAGCCTCGGGGGTCCGGAACCCCGCGCCCCCCCACCCCCGCCCCCTTTCTCCGTGCCCCGTCCCCCCCAAAAAAAAAAAAAAAAAATTAAAAAAAAATAAAAAATCCCTCCAGGCTCCCAGCCCCACGCCGTGCCCCCCAGCACCCCCGTGGGTTCCGCTGGGTCGCCAAATCCCCCCCGAAAATTCCCCCCCATAAGGATGCGGCTCCCCACGCCCCCCCCATGAATTCCCACGCCCCCCCCTTTCCCCTCGGGACCCCCCCCCCGCCCCTTCCACGCGTGCCCGGGGGACTCCCCACGCCGTGTGCGCGTCCCCCGGGGGGGCCAGCGAGAAACACCCCCCTCCTTTAACCCCCCCACCTCATCCCTTTCCCACCCCTGCTATCCCCACGCACCCCCCCCGTGCTTTTTCCCACCCGCTCCCCATCCACGGAGCTCCTTTGGGGGGGGGCGTGCGAGCAGGGCTCGGGGACTACATCCCCCAGCAGGCCGTGGGCCGGGGCAGGCTCCCGCTGCGCCCAGCCGCCTTCAAACAAAAGAGTTTTTCCCCCCCCCATCCCTCCATCCCCCCCCCAACTCCCCCCCCTCCGGCGGGGCTCGGCGCCCCCCGGCCCCTCCGAGCACCGGCGGCGGCTGCGAGCCGGGGGCGGAGGCGGCGGCGGGGGGACCCCGGCGGGCTTGGAAGTGCCTGGGCTCGGGTTACAGAGAGAAAAGGGGCTTGGCCAGGCGGAGGGGAGGTGGGCGGAGGGTCCTTTTCTCTCTCTCTGCCTTTTTTTTTTTTTTTTTCCTTTTTTTTTTTTTTTTTTTTTTTTTTCCCCTCCCGAGCTCTTTGTGTGTCCCCCCCCCCCCCACTCCCCTCCTCTCTCTCTCTCTCTCTCCCTCTCCCTCCTCTCCCTCTCTCTCTCTCTCACACCCCCCCCCACCCTCCCCAACCAACCACCACCACCCAACCCCCCTCTCAAGTCTTTGTTAGCCATGCCTAGCCTGGTAGTACCAGGGATAATGGAAAGGAACGGGGGTTTCGGCGATTTAGGCTGTTTCGGTGGGAGCGGCAAAGACAGAGCGCTGCTGGAGGATGACCGGGCGCTGCAGCTCGCTTTGGACCAGCTCTGCCTGCTGGGGCTAGGCGAGCCTTCCTCCTCCTCCTCCTCGGCCGCCGTGGTGCTGGTGGAGGACAGCAACAACAACAACAATAACCCGCAGCAGCAGCAGCAGCAGCAGCAGCAGCAGCCCCCGCCGCCGCCACCGCCGCCGCCGCCGCAGCAGCCGCCGCCGCCGCCTCCTCCTCCGCCGCCCCCGGCCCCGAAGGGTCCCCCGGTTCCCAGCGCCGGGGCGGCGGAGCCCAAGTTGTGCGCCCTCTACAAGGAGGCCGAGCTGAGGCTCAAAAGCAGCTCCAACACCACCGAGTGCGTGCCGGTGCCCAGCTCCGAACACGTGGCTGAGATCGTGGGGAGGCAAGGTGAGAGGAGCCGGGGGGGGGGGGGGGGAGCCGGGACAGGACCCCCCCCCTGGATGGCCACGATCCCCCCTTGGTGGCCAGGACAACCCCCCTTGATTGCCAGGATCCCCCCCTTGATAGCCAGGATCCCCCCCTTTATGGCTAGGACCCCCCCCCTTTATAACCAGGACCCCCACCCCTTTATAGCTAGGATCCCCCCCTTTATAGCTAGGATCCCCCCTTTATGGCCAGGATCCCCCCTTTATAACCAGGACCCCCACCCCTTTATGACCAGGACCCCCCTTTTAGCCAAGGCCCACCCCCCTTTACAGCCGGGACTCCCCGACTTTTCGGCCAGGACCCCCCCACTTTTTGGCTAAGCCTCCCTTTTCTAGCCAGGACCCCCCTTTATCACCAGCACCCCACTTTATGGCCAGGACCCCCCTTTAGGACCAGGACCCCCCCGTTTTCAGCCAGCACCCCCCTTTTCGGCCAGGACCCCCCTTTTCAGCCAGGACCCCCCTTGTTTAGCCAGCACCCCCCTTTTCGGCCAGCACCCCCCTTTTTATCCAGGACTCCCCTTTTGTCGGGAGGCACCGTGCAGCACCCCCCCCACCCCCTTTTCCCCCTTTTTAGCACCGGGACCGCCCCGCTTAAAAAGGGGGGGGGGGACCGCGAACTTCCCCCCCACCCCCCCACAAAGCTTTTCCCCCTGCCATTGTCCGAGCCGAGCCGGGCCAGCCCCGAAGGGGGGGGGGACAAAGGGGAAGGGGCGACCCGGGAGCACCCGGGCACGGCGGGGAGCCGGGGCTGAGCCCCCCCCCAAGTCGGTGGAGGGGTGATGGGGATGCCCACGCGTGTCCGTGTCCCTGCGCCCCTGAACCCCAAAAAGGAAAAAGCGGGGCTAAAAGCAGCCGGGGGGGAGGCAGGGGGTCGTGGCTGGAGCGGGGAGAAAAAAATCCCCTTTGTTGGGCTCGGCGTGGAAGCGAGGGGGTGTGGTTGGGGAGGGTTTTGCCGGGCCGGGCGGCAGCCCCCGGGCCTAACGAGGCCCCCAGGAGAGGATTAAGGAAAGTTGAAGTCGTCCTGGCACCGGGGGGGGACAAGCGGGGACCCCGCCATGGGACGCGACACCCCGTCCCGAGTGGGGTGTCCCCGTCCCCCCCTTGGCATCAGCCGCCGAGCGCCCGGCCCCGCTCGGTGACAGTGATGCTTTTGTTCTCCTCGCGGCTCTGTTCGGAGCGAGGTGGAATGGAGGAGGGCTTTAAAAATTATATATATATTTATTTTTATATATATATATATATACACACACACCACACCACACCCACTCTTAAGTCACCCCTCGCCCACCGCTCCGGCTCCGCGAGTGGGGGGCGCAGGGGGCTCGGCGTGGGGCTGGCGAGAGAAGTTTGTGTTGCTTGCAGAAAGGGGGGGGGGGAAAGAAATAATAATAGTGTGGCTAAGTGGGATTTTTTTTTTTCTCTCTCTCTCTCTAAGCAAGTAACTTGACGCTCTGGAAGTGTGACGGGCAGAGACTGCGGCTCCACATCCAGATGCTTCCTCTTGGGTTGGGGATTGAAATTGCTTGAGCTGGGAGGTTTTTTTTTTTTTTGTTTGGTTTTTGGAGCCCTGCTGCTGCTGGGGTGGCAGAGGGGAGCTTGTGGGGGGGTGGGGGGACACCCGTATGGGTGAGGCCGCTGCCACCAGCCGGGGACCCGAGGGGCGCGAACGGGCTGATGGCCGCGCGTCGCTGGGCTGGAACGCGAGCCGGGAACAATGGGGCCTCCGGTGGCTCGGCTCGCCCGGGGACGAAGCCGGGGACGGAGGGGGCGTGGGGGCCACCGTGCGCTCCCCGAGCCCCCTGAGTTGGTGGCGAGGTGTCCTGCTTTGGTTTCCGTCCCCCCCCACCTCGTGCCAAGGGCTGGGGTAGGGGCGAGGGCACGGCCGCCCACCCGGGCAGGGGGTTTGGCAGCAGCCCCGCGCGGCGGGGGCACGGCCGTGGAGAATCAGGCCCCCTTTGTTCCCTAAAGTTGGGAGACAGACGGGCGGCGTGGGGGGGGGGGAGACGCTGGGCGATGCAGGAGGTGCCCCTGCTGTACCCCCCCCTCGGCCTCGCTGCTGCCCTGACTTCAGGTGCGAGGGTATTTTTTTGGGGGGGGGGTTTGCTTGGCAGGCAGCGGTGTGCGCGGACATGGAAAACCTGGGTTTCTTCCACCATTTTTCGTGTGCGTGAGGCTTTTCCCACATCTGGGAAGCGTTAGCGGCCGGAGCCCTGGCTGGGTCAGGCTGCGCCCCCCCAACAGGGCTCAACGGGGCCGGATCCCGTGCGTGCTGGGACCCAAGGGTGCTTCGGCACAGCCCGGGCATCCACAGCTCTGCGCCCCAGCAGCCATCCTGAACCCCGCCGGTTATTTTCGGAGGCCTTCAGCCGTGTCTCCCGGGTCTGGTTTTGTCGGGAGGCTGGGCTGTGCCGGCCGCCTCGCCGACGTAGCTGGGTGCGGACGCTGCAGGGACCTGGCGCCATCCCTGGGGGCCAAATCCTGGCCCACGCTGGGGGGCTCAGCACCCCCCCTGGGGGATGCTGCAGATGGGGAGGGGGGAGCTGGCTCTCGAGGGAAGTGAGTGGTGTGAGGGTACTGGTGAATGGGGCGAGGAACGTCTCGGAAAAGAGGAGGGTAACAAAAAAAAAGTGTTATTAAAATAAAAATCGTATCGGGGCTTTGATGGGTAACAGGGTTGAGCGTTTTCTTTAACTTGGTCTTTTTTGATCCGACGAGCCGCGCCATTCGTGTTATCGCAAAATGTTTTCCACCTCTGGAAGTGTAACTTGCTGGCATGAGCGCACGCGAGCGGCCTGGACCTGGGCACGGGGGGGCCCTTGGTGTGCCTCTGGCCTTGAGATTTCCACCTGCTCCAAAACCGCCCTGTGCGTTGCTGGAGCTGTGTGCAGGCACCTGGGTGTAAATGGGGCTCAGCCCCGGGTGTTTTACTTGGGATGGACGCAGGTGTGACTGGCGAAGAGGTTTTGGTTTGGGGGGGACCCTGCTTTGGCTGGGGGATGCTGCAGGAGTTTGGGCCGAGCTTGCCAGCTCCGGCTTGCCCCAGGAGCGGAGCCAATCACCGGCTGGAGACCTCGTCTGGGTCCGTGACAGCTCTGGGTTTGGCACCAAATTCAAGCAGCGCTTCCTCGGTGGCACGAGAGCCTGCCGGGAAGCGTGGGGGCTCTCATCGGGACAGCGTGGAGCCCCACAATTGGCACTTTGGGTGAATTGGCCCACCGGGAGCCACTCCTCCCGGGGAGGCCGGTGCCAGGGAGCAGGAGCAAAGGGGAGGACACCAGAAAGGGAAAGATGAGGGGACAGGGATAAAAAAGGTCCCTTGAGTAGTGTGGGACCACGCTGCCCTGCCCGTGGTTGGCAGTAGGTCCCCTTCCCTGGCTGGTGGCGGAGCCGTGGCCTCCAGGTGTGCCCACATTTTATTCACTAGGGTGAGGAGCGGGGACACATCGTGCACGTGTGATGCAGGTTCTGGAGCCGTCGGGGTCTGCAGGGTGCTCCGGGGTGCTTGGTGGCACCCACGTTTCACTTGTCACCTCCTGCTGTGGGCACCTTCCCTACAACCCCCTCCCCGGGACCCCGCCTGTGATGGGAGCTGTGCAGGTCGATTTGTCAGGGTGTAAGGACAAAGCACCACCGTGCCTCGGAGGTGATGGGGCAGGGGGGTTGCAAGAACCTCGTCCTTTGCAACCCGAGGGTGTGGTTGTAGCGGAGAGGGGAGCGATGCTGGGAAGGGCGGAGGATGTGCAGAGGTGTCATGCTTTGGCCGTTCAGACCGAGAACTTCAAAAGAGGCAGAAATCCCCAGCCCCCAAGACATCCAGGTTCTTCCTAGAAATCAGCGGAGGTGTGGATGAGCGAAGGCACAGCTCTCGCTTCGCTGCCAGGGTAAAAAATCTGCTCCCTCTGGCAAACTGGACCGCTGTCAACAGAGCCAGGGAGGAGGCTGCAGGACTCGGAGGGAAGCGCGTTTGAGGTTTTGTCCCATTTCTTTGTGCGCTTGGGGTGTGCAGGCGTGGGGAGAGGAGGTGCTGGGTCGGTTTGGCTTTCCGCTGCTCGGAGCACAGCGGGGCAAAGCTCCTGGTGGATACGTTCCCTCGGAGAACGGTGCTCTTGGTGTTGGTGGCAGCACCCATTGTCACCTGCACCCAGAGCCACCCTTCGGTGAAGCATCTCCCAGCCTGCTCTAACCGGCCCCGCTGTCAACAGGAATGAGATTACGCGAGAGAGGAGCTTAGCATAAATTGCTCTTTCTTGGCAAGGTGAAGTCAAATAACAAGAGGCCCCACTAACCCCAGGTGATTGGGCTCTTTGTGTAGCTCCAAACATGCTCCAACGCTTCCAGCATTTAAAAATAGTCCAAGGAAGCCTTTCCCATTGAGGAAGTCTGATGACTGCAGCTCCCCCACCCACCATGTGGAGGTGGATGTACAGCATCCGCGAGGCAGCGAGGGGGTCAGATCCTGGCGGCTGCTGGCTGCGTAAAGCTGGGAGCCAACGCCATCCACCCGGCCTGGGGGGGCCCCCGGCAGCCCCCCGTTAACGCCGCTCCAGCAACCGGAGCCGGGCCTCGCCGGGAGAGCGGGACCGCAGGCGGTGGCAGCCCCGTTTCGCCGAGTGTTAACGAGAATCCGTCCGAATTTACACCATTTGGGGGGGGAAAAAAGTGCCGAGCGGGATCGACTTGGCGCGGTTTGAACTGGAGGTGGGAGGAGAAAATGGGTCTGGGAGAGAGACAAAGGGAATTTTCCAGGGAGACGTGCGCGCTCCGCGCCCGAGATCCGGCTGCTGGATGCCCGCGCGAGCCCGGCCGCGGCACAGCCGGCCCCGAATCTAGGGCAGTGGGAGCACGCTACCCCCCCCCCATACTGCCCCCACCATGCTGCCCCCCCCTTGCCCTGCCTTTGTCTGGCAGCCCCCGACCCGCCGTGCCCCCCAGGAGCCGTCCGGCGCCACGCGTGCCGCG